GAGAAAGGTAAATACAACAGAGGAAGCCGTTTTCATGTGGACTCAACTGGTCAGCCCATCTTTGTTTGACAAGATGAGGGCCAACTAAGAACCAGGCTGTGATCATCAAAATCATGAAGACTAAGGAGAGGGCACAGGTAGAGTCGGCCAGACCACTGAACAGTAAACTATATAAACTAAGGCTGGCATCCAGAAAACAAAAATGCTACTTTGTGTAGAGGGTTGTAAGTTGCACACCCTTGCCACAGGTCAGAATTATAAAGAGATTTAGGAGGGTTGAGAGAAATACACAGTTAATGGTTTCCAAAACAGGCATTTTTAAGGAGTCTTCTTAACTTTTTAAAAATCCACACCATGAAAGACAATCACACTTGCTTACTACAAAGCTCTTGGTAACAAACAAACACAAGCTACCAGACCTGATGAAACTCGTGTCTGATAAATAATGAGATTCTTCTGATGGGTGTGGTTGTTTGTATGTGTGTGAATACGAATGTGTCCTAATAGGAATATTATCTATTTATTTGATCAGACTGAGATTATTTACATCGTTGTGATTACAAGTTTTGTCTCAATTTTCCCACTAATTTGCATTTATTCATCTATTTGTCACTGAGGATCAGTCTGTTTTTTCCACAAGCCCAGGAGAAATGCACCGTCCTGTAAACCATCTTCCAAAAAGAAATGCACCATCCTGTAAACTAAGTGAACTCCAGAGTTGTTATTTCTGCATTTTGGGATTCTTTTCACTAAGGTTCAGGGATGTCTTATGTCCTCATGTTTCTATGAGAGCCCTTTCCCTGCTGGGCAGGAGGACCTTCTCAGTGGGGTGGGCAGAGGGTTGATTATGTTCTGCCTGCGAGCGATAGTGCTGGGAGCTCAGAGCTGGAGAAGCAGCAGTTTCCTTGTGGAAACTCCTGATGATATCACAGATTCTCCTTCACGTGCCCAGAATGCTGGGGAAAGCCTGAGGCTAGCCACAAATATTCAGCTGTCTTGAATAAGTCTTCTCTCAAAACTACCATCTTTGTGTTTCTGCGAATGATGTAACTTGTCTGAAACACCCACCTGTCCAAGGCATCGTGGGAGTTATGTCGGTTAAGTACCACCCTGCCATAATTTTCATCTCTGCAGAGAAAAAACAAAATCACACCACATAAAAAGTTACTTCAATATTTGCTAAGCACTAAATAAGAGAGACAGGGGAGAGAGCTCACAATTCTTGGCAAGGATAATTCACTTTACAGGATGAGTCATGTATTCAGGCATAAGAACACAACTACGTATCTATTTTAACCAGTCACCACTTGAAAGAGCATGGAGAAAAGAAACAAGTTTGGCAGTACAAATGATCATTTATCTCAAGAGATTTCCACGTGATTCAACCATGAATGAGTGTTTTATTTTGCTGTGTTGTTTTTTATCAGAGTGTGGGAACACAAGGTCGTCTACTTTGTGTATACTAGAGGAGTCTATTTCTGCAGGAAGGCAAATATAAAATCTTTACATAAATATTGTTTAAATTTAATTAAGCCCATTATGTCTGGATATTTTGATGGACTGTACGGTTTTCCTTGGCAAAAGGTAGAAAAACAAGTACCAACATTTGTGATTAGGGAGACTGATCATTCACATACAATTTAGCCCTTTTTTGACCCATAAGAATACATAGTTTGTTTGGTCCTTAAAATAATTAGGCAGGGAAGACACTGTCATATGCAATTCACAGATGAAGAAATGGATCAGAGATATTGTGGCTTTCCTGAGACCACAAGGTTAGCAAGTGACAGAGGTGGGTCTAGGACCCAGATCTTTTTATTCCAAACCTTTGCATTTCCTGCTGGTCAACCCTACAATAGAAAACCATACATAAATCCCAAAGCCATCACTTTCTTACTTTGTACAGTAGACTTGAAAGTACAGGCAATTTTAGGAAATGTCAAAACATGTAGTGGAGCCTTTGGACTTGAGCCAAAGCAGAGAGCAGGTACCTCTCTGCTCTTTTTTCATGTCAACCCAACCAAACCTGAAATGACACATTTTTCCTGGTTCTGCTCCACTAACTTCACTCAACACTCTGGAACCACTCTTAATAAAGCTATAAAAGAATTGAAGTCGACAATTAAAGAGAAAGATGAGCAGTGAAACTGAAACACTGCTAGCAAATATATACCAAAAAACTATATACGCCCAAAATATATATATTTTGAGACTTCAAGGGAGCTTTTTTTTTTTATCTTTCCCGGTATCCCTTCTTGAAACTCGTGAGAGAGTAGCAGGCACCAGGTGTATTCTTACCTGAAGAAGAATGAACACAGCCCTGAACCTGTCCAGTGTCTGGGGAAGTGACAGAGCCAGCTTCCCCTCATCCAGCAGCTGCCATGCCATCAAAGCTGGCTTCAGAGGGCCTTTCTAAGGAGGCATGCCTGGCACAAAACCATCATTCCTACCAACTGGGATTTGTCTTAGACATCTCTGTCTTCACCCATCTGTGTAAATATTTGCAGTCCAAAATGTATGCTCTACATTTGACATCACACTACCACTACAGAAAACTACAAATGCCACACTAGCCTCTGACAGAAGCAATAAGTCCTGTTTCACAGAAGGAAATGGTTGTTGTCCAATAGTGCTAATTCCAAAAGTTAGTGCAAATCTCTGAACACCTCTGTATTTCCTTAGAATAATAAGATTCGGTAACAGAAATTAATGGACATATACCCCTCAAACCACTGTATGTGACCCATTTTTAGACAGTTAAGAGTCAGTATCCTGTAATGCAAGGTTTCTCAACTTCAAGGCTATTGACATTTCTGGTTTAATACTTTTTTGTTGCAGGGGCTATTCTGTGCATCATAGAATGTTTAGCAGTTTCCTGGCCTCTACCTACTAAATGCCAGGAGCACTCCCCAATTTTGAATCAAAATATGTCTCCCAACATTGCCAGATGTTCCCTAGGAGTAAAATTATCCCTGGCTGAGAAACACTGGTATAATGGAAAGACAATGGGTCATGATAAAATCTCAACTCCACCATTTATAGCTGTGTGCCGCTGACAAGTTACTTAACTCCTCTGAGCCTCAGATTCCTCCTCTGTGTTTGTTGTAAAATTTAGTGATGTTTTGTATGTAAAGCATCTAGCATCAATTTTGACATATAAGGAAATCAAAAAATGTATTCACCCATATACATAATGTATACATAATTTATAAAAATATATATTTGGGCTAGAAAAATTATTGTTCCAAAATGTATGCTCTACATTTGACATCACACTACCACTACAGAAAACTACAAATGCCACACTAGCCTCTGACAGAAGCAATAAGTCCTGTTTCACAGAAGGAAATGGTTGTTGTCCAATAGTGCTAATTCCAAAAGTTAGTGCAAATCTCTGAACACCCCTGTATTTCCTTAGAATAATAAGATTCGGTAACAGAAATTAATGGACATATACCCCTCAAACCACTGTATGTGACCCATTTTTAGACAGTTAAGAGTCAGTATCCTGTAATGCAAGGTTTCTCAACTTCAAGGCTATTGACATTTCTGGTTTAATACTTTTTTGTTGCGGGGGCTATTCTGTGCATCATAGAATGTTTAGCAGTTTCCTGGCCTCTACCTACTAAATGCCCGGAGCACTCCCCAATTTTGAATCAAAATATGTCTCCCAACATTGCCAGATGTTCCCTAGGAGTAAAATTATCCCTGGCTGAGAAACACTGGTATAATGGAAAGACAATGGGTCATGATAAAATCTCAACTCCACCATTTATAGCTGTGTGCCGCTGACAAGTTACTTAACTCCTCTGAGCCTCAGATTCCTCCTCTGTGTTTGTTGTAAAATTTAGTGATGTTTTGTATGTAAAGCATCTAGCATCAATTTTGACATATAAGGAAATCAAAAAATGTATTCACCCATATACATAATGTATACATAATTTATAAAAATATATATTTGGGCTAGAAAAATTATTGTAAATCCCTGTTGGCAATGAGACTATATGTCTATGGTCATACTTATTGGGCCTTTAAACATATAGCTAGTAAAAGCAATACTCAAGGCAGACAAAACTCTGTTGGTGGTAAGTGCTTTCCCCTACAAAGTAATATCACATTCTCCACCCTTTCAATAGAGGTAGATGGCCAGATGGGACTATGATGAGTTGGGAATTTATTGATTTCACTTGTACATATAAAATTTTATATAAATTGTTATTAAATTTGTAAATTTGAAATCATTCTATTATGTGTTTCTTTCAGCTGACATCATCAACACAATCAGGAATCTCCCTATCAGGGATTAACTGCTGCTTCCTTTTTGGAAACTGGAAAGTCATGTTTTCTTTTCAGTTTACCAAGTAAGCACAGATGTCTATTCTCGGTGACAGCCATGCTCTCTCTCAGTAATGACCCATATTCTCTTGAGGATGTGGATATTAAAAATGGTAGAGATGTTCTTGAAAATCGGATATAACAAGTTTATATTTACTGAAACTTACCAAAAATTAGACCACACAACAAAGTATTTTAGAAGGAAAGCATTTGCTTTCCAGATGCCCATTGGTTTCCCAAACAGGCAATGCCTCTCTGTGCTCCATCCACCCACCCACCACTATCCACACCCCCTTACTTTTCTTCTTCGGGACGTTTCTTTATCCAGCTGTTATCCTGTAAGAAAATCCTTCTTTTGTTCTCATCATGAAAACCCTGTTGTCTCAGTGTGGTCCCCTGAGTGGTGCTCTTCATATCTATCAACAGAAAAATGAAAAGTTGGAGAGGTGATACTGAAACTTGAGTGTGGGATTATTAACCTGAAAATCATGAGAGGCATATCGGTTTGGCCAGCATCGACCTTCTAGGCTGGCAGATCCAGTACTGTTTTAAAGTAGGATGCGCCAGCAAGAAAGAACAAATCCCACACCCATCATCAAAGATAACATGTAAAACTGCTCAGGTGCCAACTGAAACTGCCAGTGCAGCTCGCGAGGCCCCAGCCAGCTCCTAAGAAAGTAGAACCACAGGCCTGGGATAAACCAGGCCAGGGTTTAGTGGGCTGGACACTTTACTCAATGAGAAATATGCCCCAGAAGTACACACAGGACTGTTTTTACAGTGTCTAGTAAATAATAATAGTAATAGTAAAAATAGTAACAGTAAAAAATAACAGTCAATAAATTCTGGTGCATTTGATTATAAGTAACTTAATTCTTTGATCTCGTGGGATCCAGAAGCGTAAAAGGTCAGACTCAACAAAAGACATTTTTGCTGATTTTTTTTTATCTTTGAATTACAATTCAATGAGTAAAAGCTATAGCATTCTTACTTTTTCCTAAGCCTCACTTTAGCAAATGCTAATTAAATTAGACTATTGTTTCTAAGCATTTGATATCTATCTTAAAGAATTAGGATCTGTGAGTTGTTTTTCTGTAAGTTTTCTAAGTAAGGGAAACATCGTCTCCATTACCATTTCCTGTGGGTGATGTTTTCCTCAAGGTAAAATTGGACATGCTGCCTTCCAGCAAGGACCTAAGAGAAAAATGGGAATGGGGAAGAACACAACAATGAGTCTAAAAACCTGTAAGTGTTTTCATGGCTGTGACACATTTTTCAATGACATTGACAAAGTCACATGATCTGGTACAGCAAATACATACATGACATGAAGTGCTCCTTAAGAACCTGAGAGTCTCTATTCCAACATATTTATTTCACAGGTGGAGAAAATCAAGCCCAGGATGTTTAGTGTCCCCAATTTTATAGAACGAGCAATTGGTTGAATCAGGCTATCAGTTCATTCATTTCTTCAATCAGTAAATATGCACTGAGTGGCTACAGTGTGCCTGGCACTGAGCCAGGAGCTGGAACAACAGACGACTTGGACAAGTGTCTGGTCGTTGTCAATGGGAAGAGAGAGACATTATGCTGGAACTCTCAGCACAATGTGAAGAATGCTTGAAGCCTCATCAGCTCCTCTGCGGAAGCTGCAGTAAACCCAGGCCGCTGATATGCGGTGAGATAGGAGGCAGCAAGATGCAGGGAAATCACAGATCTGGGGACACACTGACGATTTTAGGCAACCACCTCATGGGAAAGCTCAAAGTTCCTTACCCACAACCAGCCACTACAGTTAAGGTGTAAGGGGGTTAAGATGACCCACAATTCCAGTTTTTCCAGAACTGATCCAGTTCCCCAGAGATGAATTATGACTTTGTGGTTCCTAGACACTTTGCCTTTATGGCCCCTTCTCTCTCTCTCTCTCTCTTTCTCTCTCTCTCTCTCTCTCTCTCTCTCTCTCTCTCTCTCTCTCTTTCTCTCTCTCTCTCTACACACACACACACACACACACCGAAATAAAAAATTATATTTTATGATTGTGTGAGTAGGAATATAATCCAGGCTGACTTCATTATTACAGGCTCACTATTATTATTATTATATTCATATTTTTCTTCTGCTGTTAAAATGAATTAAAATTAGAACACTTTTGTGGGTCTTAAGGCTATCGTGGGCCTTACTTAGGCACGGTGTCTACTCTGCCTGATGGATAAGTCAGCCCTGGGGTATTTTTCTTCTGCTGTTAAAATGAATTAAAATTAGAACACTTTTGTGGGTCTTAAAGCTATCGTGGGCCTTACTTAGGCACGGTGTCTACTCTGCCTGATGGATAAGTCAGCCCTGGGATCACCTGAAAGTGAGACTTCCAGTTTTAAAACCAGAAAGTCCTGGGAAAACTGGGGTGGCTGGTCACCCTAGATGGGGTATTATGTCCTTTGCAGTGTCCATCCAATCAGAAAGTGTATGGAACATTGGAAGGGCATTCAATCTCAAGTTGGAAGCAAGTTCCAGGTTCAGCTTTATCACATTCAAGTTCTATAATTGAACCGCTTAACCTCCCTGTATAACAGGGCTAATAAAACCTGCCATCTACTTCATAAGGTTGTTGCAATGATCACAACATAAATAATGAAAACAGAAAGAATTTTTTTAGCCTATAAATGCTATTGGATTTAAGACAGTATTATCGGACAGCTATCTATAGGTATAACTCAGGGGTTCTAAAGGGCCCCACCTTCCATCCTCTAATGCAAAAATATCTCCTGCAACAACTTGCCATAGGTCCTGAAATGGTAAAGATGCATTCCTTTGGGTCAAGATATTTTTTTCCCTGGATTCTCCTTTTAGAATGTCAATCGTGCTACAGAAGGTCAGAAGTGGAGGCTGTTGGTGCCCAGACCAGGTCCCCTTTACCAGACTGGGGCTTGGTGGCTACAGGCTCATGGATGCACCTTCTCTGGGGAATTGCCCTTAGCTAGTGGGTCTGCCTGGTTCCCACCCATTATAACCTGCATCTGGTGACTGACTGAGCTGGGATGAAAAAAGTCAGTCCCTTGCCTCAAGGTAGAACCAATTCTGCGGGGGGCGATCTGTGCTTCAGAGCTCACTGTGGGATCCAGCTCAGGCTCACCCAGCAGAGAGCACATCCTTGCTCAGCTCTGTCCCCTGCCTCCCCTTCCCTTCCTCCCGTCTCCTGAGAGCACACCTTCAATAAGTCACAGACACCCAAATTCTGCTCAGGCACTGCTTCTAGGGAACCTGATCTGTGACTAACAACCAGTGTATTAATCATGGCCATTACTTTCACAGAGCTCAGCAGCTGCTAATAACTGAGAGTTGGAAGGTCTTAGTGGAGTTGGAAAGACCTGCGTTTAAATGAAGCTACTTATTGATCCTCACCTTGGGTATGTTTTTTACCTCATCTCTCTTCTACAAAATGAGGTGAAATAGGGCTACTGTGAGGATCAAATGAGATAACATATATAAAGAGTCTAATTATTGCCTGGCACACAGTAGCCGCTCAATACTTCTTAACTTCACGCCTCTACTCTATCATCTTGGAAAGTAAAGACCAAAGACACAGGAGAGATGTGGTTGGGTGTGGGAAGGGGATGGAACAGACTTGAACTTGGACATCTGGGCATGCAGGGAGTGTGGGGCAGCCCCTTGCTGGCTGTGTTTGGAGGATGCAAAAACTTTGGCAGGAAGGGAAGTTAATGAGGCACCTAAAGATAAACTTCATCTCAACTGCTTGTTAATTTTGCCTCTGTCTGATGGTGCATCTCAGGATTCTTGACTAACATACTTCTTGTTTCTAAATGGGCTCTAATAAATTTTTTTCCTCTTTGCTGATGAAGATCTGAAAAGTTCTCAGCTGATTGATTGAACTGGGATATTGAGGTTGTCAAAATGCCAAATGTGTATTTGATGATATATCTGCAGAGATTGCAAATTCAGTTGCAAGAAAAGGGGCAGAGTAAATGGAGAAAAGGCATTTTACTATTATGTATTTGTCTGTCTCTCCTAAGAGACTGTGTTTCCAGTGGGCAAGGCCTAAGTCTTTCCCTTCCATTCCCAATGTCTGGGATGGAGTAGGTGTTTGTTATTGGCTGAATCATGTTTCCCTAAAATTCATATGTTGAAGTCTAAACCCCTGCATCTCAGAACATGACTATATTTGGAGATTGGGCCTTTTAAAGAGGTGATTAACTTAAAATGAAACCCTTAGGGTGGGCACTAATCCAATCTGACTGGGCCATATAGGAGAAGATTTGGAAAAACAAAGAGATACCAAAGAAAAAGCTACGTGAGGACCCAGCAAAAAGTTGACCATTTGCAAGCCAAAGAGAGAGGTCTCAAGTGAAACCAAACCTGCCCACACCTTGATCTTGGGCTTCCAGCCTCAGAACTGTAAGACATTAAGTTTCTGTTGTTTAGGTCACCTAGTCTATGGTATTTTGTTATAGCAGCCCTAGCAAACTAACACAGTCCTTAAAGAAAAAGTGATTTAAACATTTCTAAAATAACTAAGTCATTCAAAGAGCTTTGTGCCACACTGTCCCTGACCGGTGCTCTTTGTGTCCTCAATTTTCCTATAGCACAGGGGAACTGCTAATAGCATAACTGTCCATGATTTCAGCCCCTGCTCCAAATAAGGTACCTCACAGGCACTGTCTCTCATTCTCACATAAACTCTGTGAGGGGCTATTGTTACCTGCAACTCCCAGATAAGACAGCTGAGGCTCAGGGAGAGGATGTAACATGTCCATGGCGGTAAGAGGCAGAGCCAGACTTCTAAACCAAAGCCACCTCCTTCCTCTGCAACCAGCAATGATGGTACGCAGGAGTCACTGCAGACTAGACTGGTTCCCTGGGTCAGAGTGAGAGAAGGATGTAGACAGCAGGGGCCTGCCTCTCCTTGACATCTCAGTCATTGAAAATCCCATGAGTCCTGCCGCCAGTGCGTGGCACCAGGAGAATCAGGACAACATTTCAAGGAATCATTGCAGCAGACAGACCCTCACAAAGCAGCAACCTCTCTGTATTGCCTAATAGTTCCTTAGTTATAAAACATATGTCCACACATAATCTTGTACAAAAATGGTCACAGCAGCATATAATAGCCAAATAGTGAAAACAACCCAAATGCCCATCAGTGGACGAATGGATACATAATGTGGTACATTTATACAATGGAATATTACTCAGCAGTAAAAAAGGAATGAAGTACTGTTTCATGCTACAACATGGATAGGGCTCGAAACATTAGGCTACATGAAAGAAAGCCAGACATAAAAGATGACATATTGTATGATTCTATTTTATGAGATGTACAGAATAGTTAAATCCATAGAAAAGAAAGTACATTAGTGTTTGCAGGGGTTAGGTGAGGGGAGAATGAAGAGTGACTGCTAATGGGAATGAGGTTTCATTTTGGGGTTAAAAATATGTTCTGGAATTAGATAGTGGTAAAGGTTGCACAACCTTGTGAATATATTTTTTTTTTAAAAATTGAATTTTACACTTCAGAAGGGTGAATTTTATGGAATGTAAATTATATCTTAACTGATAAAAACAAAAACCAGCAGCAGCAAGGCCCATTTCTGAGCTGCAGTGACAGCAAAGGCAATCTTACATGACCCACATGGCTTTGCCAGAATAAAATGGAAGCAAATTACATTTCACAAGATTATCTCAAGCCCATGAGGACTTGTGTACCTCCAACCACTGCAAACACTTGACTCTTCCTGGGTACACATCTATAGCAATTGCTAAATGCCAAACCAGTATCCTGGGTGAGCCATGGATCATTCATTAGGGTAGACCTCAGGATCTTTCTGTCTACTAGCCAATCTGAAGTAAAATATGACTGAGCAGGTAACATGTGAATGTGTTAGTGGTGACATAGAGGGAAAAATGATGAGCCTCCAGCTGGAAAACCTCCAGTTGAGTCCCAGCTTGGCTAGAAAGCCTCTGTTTGATGAGTCCCAGCTTTGCCACTCACTAGTTACTTAAACCAAGTCTCACTTCTGCCTCTGCAAAGTGAGGGTCATGTCAATCTTAAAAGATTGTTGTGGAAACTAAATGAGATAATACTTTGCAAATCATAAATTAGTATAAAATCATCTAAGCAGAGCCTGAAGAGGCAGGAGAAGCCCAGGTTGGGAGCAGGACTGAGGGGTTGGTATCAC